GGCTACTCAGAGAAATGTGCCTCAAAAACAAGAACAACAATAAATAAGTTGCCGTGGTCAAGGTGTCTCTTCACATCAATAGAAACCCAAACTAAGAAAACATATAAAAGAAACAAACAAAAAAATAACATGGGGCTGGAGAGATGGCTCAGTGATTAAGAGCACTGACTGCTCTTTCAGAGGACCTGGGTTCAACTCCCAGCACCCACATGGCAGCTCACAACTGTCTGAAGATCCAGTTGCAGGGGATCTGACATCTTCACACCAATGCACATAAAGTAAAGTTAAATAAACCATAAAAATATTTAAAAAATAACATATAGGGCTGGAGAGAAGGTTCAGAGGTTAAGAGCACTGACTGCTCTTCCAGAGGACCCGGGTTCAATTCCCAGCACCCATATGGCAGCTCACAACTGTCTGAAGACCCAGTTCCAGGGGATCTGACACCTTCACACCAAAGCACATAAAAAATTTAAATAAAACCATAAAAATAAGCAAATTTTATTTAAAAAAAAACAAAACAAAAAATGACGTATATTACAAAGTTCTCAAACTTCTGTCAGACCAGCTTCAAGAAAAATACCACTTATGGGGCTGGAGAGATGGCTTAGTGGTTAAGAGCACTGGCTGCTCTTCCAGAGGTCCTGACTCCAATTCCTAGCAAGCCCATGGTGGCTCACAACCATCTGTAATGAGATCTGGTGCCCTCTTCTGGCATGCGGGATTAATGAAGGCAGAATGCTGTATACATAATAAATAAATAAATCTTAAAAAAAATTACCACTTACCAGGGTAGGGGCACTGGAGTCAGAAGAGTTAGTAAGGGACACAAAACCGCAAGTAAAATAATAAAACAGAAGCATTGGATAGTGCCAGGAGGGAGTTACAGTGAGTACTGAAATCGCCTCCGTTTAATTTCCAATTGTTTAAAATAACCGACGCCAAAAGGTAGGATTTAAAAAAAAACTAACCCTGCATTAACACACATAATACAAGGAAATGAACAGAAACATTATGTTGCTTCAAGAGGACAAGTCACACTCACACCCTAGACCAAAACATCCTGTAGGCAAACCATTCCCTGGGTGGAATCCAAAATTATCTCCCTAAAGGAACAAGAACTTAGTTGAACCCTTAGACTTTCTATCCCTGAAATACAAGGTCTGGATATTAGTCAACCCTGTTGACAATAACCTCTCCCTCCAAATCTAGGTGGGACCTTTGTTTGAGGTAGAAACAGACAATAACCTTGAAGGAATGGAAGTTCCAACTCTCTGACCTTTGCTCAAGATGGAAATAGGCTCACACATCTGAGCCTCCACAAACTCCAACCCCTAACATCATTGATGAGCGGACAGCAATGCCCTGGTTTGTCCATACACTGCAGAACTGGGTGCGATATGACATTGTGTTGAGAGCCCAAAAGATGCATGAGAATGTGCTAGGACCATAACTCTAAAATATCCTAGGGAAAGGCGGTTAGCTGAAGGAAAGAGTTCATGGTCTGGCTGGGACTGTGGGTCCACAGGAGGTGACTGTAATAAGCACCAAGAAAGTTTGCGGTGAAAGTTTTTGTTTTGAAACAGGGTTTCTCTGTAGCTTTGGAGCCTGTCCTGGAACTAGCTCTGTAGACCAGGCTGACCTTGAACTCAGAGATCCATCTGCCTCCGCCTCCCGAGTGGTGGGATTAAAGGCCACCACTCAGCTGCATTGAAGGTTACAGGAATGTTTTTTTGTTGTGATCCCCAAACTAACATAGCATGGGAGGGAGGGAGGCCCCTCCTAGCCACCAGCAAGCGTGCAGACCTTTGGCCCTTTTTTTGTCTGAATTCTTGAAACAGGGCCTAGCTGTATAGTTCACCCTGGTCCTGAACTTCTGATCCTTTTGCCGTTAGTCTTCCTAGTGTTGGGATGGCAGGAATGGAACTGATTCTGGGGTTTGGATCTTGAATGGAACAGGAGAAGCAGGAATCGGACACCCCCAGGAGCTCACAGTCCTGAGAGGTCTAACCCAGTGGATTTTGGGAGCTCCATGTAGCTCCATCTGCAGCCCCAGTTCCTCGGGGAAGGGCTCTGTCTGCCCCTTTGTGAATGGATGACCCACACCAAAGCGCTGGCCCAGCTAGGACTTGAGGGACATTTCATCCTGTTCCTGTAAGGAGAACCTGCAAGGCTTACATTGGAACTGGTCAGGACTCACACACACCAGGGTTGTTTCCAGGTTGCGGGCCTGATGTTGCAAGCGTGATGCTGCAAGCATTGGGGCCTGGAGGCAGCAGCGTGGCGCTCCCCCTGCTGGCCACAATCGGAACGGTGCCGATCTCTCTAGTTTGATCTTAAATTCTGAAAACACACCTTGTCAAATTTTTGAAAATAAATTTTGTCCGCGGAAAGGAGACACAGAGAAACCCACACAACCTCTAGTCATTTTCCCTTTAAGGTACTCTCTCTGTGTATAGCCCTGGCTGTTCTGTGATTCACTCTTGTAGACCAGGCTGGCCTCGAACTCAGAGATCCTCCTGCCTCTGCATCCCCAGGGCTGGGACTCAGCTTATTACTTTTTTAAAAAAATATTTATTATGTATTCAGTATTCTTTCTGCATGTATGCCTGAAGGCCAGAAGAGGGCACCAGACCTCATTACAGATGGTTGTGACCCACCATGTCGTTGCTGGGAATTGAACTCAGGACCTTTGGAAGAGCAGGCAGTGCTCTTAACCTCTGAAGCCATCTCCCCAGCCCCAGTTTATTACTTTTTGCCAGCATGTGTGTCTCTGCACTATGCGCAGCGCTGAAGGACAGAATTGGCATCACATCATCTGGAACCAGAGTTACAGTTGTGAACCGCTGAGTGGGTGCTGGAAACAGAACCTGGGTCCTCTGGGAGAGCAGCAAATGCACTTAACCACTGAGCCATTTCCTTCCTGCCCTGACATTAAAAGCCAAAAGCATTGCTGAGCAGTGATGGTGCATGCCTTTATTCCCAGCACTTGGGAGGCAGATCTGTTTTATGTCAGCCTGGTTGACAGTTGAGTTCCAGGACAGCCTGGGCTACAGAGAGAAACCCTGTCTCAAAATAAGCAAACCACACCCAGCACTGGTGTATAACACGTTGGGGATGGGCGAGGGTAGCACAGGTTCGTTATTCTCTGTGGGGTGTCGGGGCCCTGCAGTGTCCCTGGACTACACCATCTCTAGGCCAGGAAAAGACACTCAGTGTCAAATAGACATGCGTTCACAGACACGGCCCAGAAAAGCAGTCTGATCCCAGGACAGGGCAGCCAAAGTGTCATCATATCACCACAGGCACAAAGTACATGCAGAAGCTATGGCTGTGCAAACCATACTACCCACACCTTACTATCTAGCTACAGCTGGCCCTGAACTCCTGACTCTCTTGCCTACTCAAGGGCCAGGATAACAGGTTTGAGAGTCCCTGCTCCCTTCTTTAGCCCTCTTGTGATGGCAAAAAAAAAAAAAAAAAAAAATCAGCTGGGCTTCATGACAGCACTCAGGAGATTGGAGCAAGGCTGCTGACTTCAAGGGTGCCATGGACTATAACGGAGAGCATCCTCATAGTGAAGAAACAAGCCAGGGACATGGAGTCACGCTGCTTTCTGGCTACACACTTTTTTCGAAACAGAGTTTCTTTGTTTATCCCTAGCTGTCCTGGAACTTACTTTGTAGACCAGGCTGGCCTTAAACTCACAATCTACCTGCCTCTGCCTCCTGAGTGCTGTGATTAAAGTCGTGCACCACCACCTTCGCCCAAGGGCACACAGCTTGTTTCTAAGCGTACTCCACTCCGCCCCGCTGCCCCCCTCGTCCAATATGAGGATCTTTATATAGGTGGGTCAGCGTTCTCGAAGATGGGCCAGCCATGGTGGCCGGCCTGATAAGGGCACATACCGCCGAATTTGATGGCCCTCGTTCCATCATGGAGTGCCACATGATAGGAGACACCTGACATTACCATGCATGTTGTGGCATGGACACACTAAAGAACCCCCCCTCTTTTTTTGATTTCCTACTCAGGGTTTTGTGTGACCCTGGCTGTACTGGAACTCGCTGTGTAGATGAGGCTGGTCTCCAACTCTCTGAGATCCCCCTGCCTCTGCCTCCTGAGTGCTGGAATTAGAGGCATGCACCATCGCTGCCTGGCAAAACAAAATCTTTTTAAAGACACTGATGTGGCCCTGGCTGTCCTCAAACTGTAGATCAAGCAGGCCTTAATAAATTAACGATCACCTGTCTCTGTCTCCCGAGTGCCGGGACTACCACGTGACGCACCACCATCAAGTTCTCACAGTTGACACGGATGACAAATGAGAATGGCCTTCTTGGTAACAGGCAGACAGGTAGAAGTCAGTGTCTGTCGGCACCTGCAAGTCTCCCTCCAATGCTAAGCACTGCACCCCAAAAGCATGGCCTCCAAGGCAGATGATCACCAACACTGGGGCCCATACAGTCAGGCCCTGGGATCACTCACCCTGAAGACTACAGAACAGGCTAAGGGCGTTCTCTGCGGTCACACAGAAGCACACACTGAGAGATTGGTCCACTGACACCAATGCCCCGGTGAGCCTGTGCCTCCATAGCCACAAGCTTGCTGGGTGCTGGCTCCACCTGCCTCCCTGATGGGCTTTGTTGCCGGTGGAAGCTGACAGCAGGGAAGGGACAGGGTAGCTGGCTGCAAGGGTGGGTTCTCAGGTCTGAGGGCAGGAATCCATTTCCCATGGGTGCAAGCTCCACCCCCATGGACCTACCAGTAGCCTGCACCCAACTCTAACCAACGGTTTCCCATGTGTACAGAATCTGAGGGGCCTTGCCATGTCTCCTGTGTGCCAGGTGGACAGACTGACCCTCCAGGCTGTGGTGTGTTATCAGGTGGACAGACTGATCCTCCAGGCTGTGGTGTATTATCAGGTGGACAGACTGACCCTCCAGGCTGTGGTGTTAGTTGTCAGGTCCATGGGATTCAGGCTGACACGGGAGGCCAAGTATCACCCTTGTCTCTTTATTACCCAGGAGTTCTGTGCCCAGGTGGGCATTGCTGCGGCCTGCAAGCAGACGGCACTAGCCACAGGGCCCATCTTCCTACTGGCTACCTACAACACACACAGCTGACACTACTGCCACGCAGTCTGACGCCAGCATGACCCACTGCTGGTTCAGCTGTCCTGTGATCTTGCCCCCCGCTCCCGGGGAGAGCAGGGGTGGGGACAGCTGCATGGTCTCACTCACTGTGCACTGTCCCTGAACAAAAATGGTTCTGGTGGCTGTTTCAGGGCTCAGAACATGGCACGGGGGCCAACACCCCCAAACTGCCCACCAACCCGAGACACTGAATTCCCATGAGATGGAGGACAGGAGCACAGATGGGACAAAATGTCCATGTCTCCTGCCCGGGCTGAGGATGGAGCAGGACTGGACACAAAATCAGGACTGGCCGATGGCTGTGAAGAGGACAAGCCGGGGAAAGGAGACATGGACAGTCCACAATCGGGGCAAAAGTCACAGGTCTTGCCTGTGTGGCACAGGCCACCGAGATAAGTCAGGCAGGGGTACCTGTTGGGGCCTGCAACCCAAGTGTGGGCACAGAACGCTGGCACCTGTCTGGGGCTGGCAGTGGACACTTCCCAGGGGGCTGAGAGTCAACTATTCAAGTCCCTTTAAACCAGCAGGGTAGGGCTTGGCAGCCTTCCTGGTGCTGAAGGAGTGGGTGCTGGTGGGTAGCTGTCTGGTTGACTCTCCTAGGAAGGGACGGGGGTGGCAAGAATACAAAAAATGGAAGTGGGGGATTGGGAATGAAGAGAAACACAGGGGGGCGAGTCCGTCTTAACATGCAGGTCCAGTCTCTCTCTCTCGGGCAGCCTGACGGAGAAAACGCTAGAACACCAGGAGGCCGAGGAGCGGTGGGATCACCACACAGATGAGCTGTGGACAGAAGCCAGGGCAGTGAAAGCCGGGACCAGACCAGGGGTCCAGCGAGGGAGGCCAGACGGGGACACCCCTGTGCAGTATGGCTCCAGGGAGACCACCGGCAGTTGAATGTGGTGGCAGACACCTGTCACCTGGTTTTCTAGAGGAAGATCAGAAGTTTGGGGACAGCTTTGGCAACATGAGACCAAAAACCAAAATACAAAACTGAACATGAGGGCTGGGGTGGCTCAGTCTGTGAAGTGCACACTTCTCACACCCGAGGACCTGAGTTCAGTCTCCAGAAGCTACGCAAATAAATAATCAAGGAGTGTGGAACGAGCCAGCAAACCCAGCGATGTGACGTGGGAACCGGACATATAGGGAGCTTGGAGAACTTGACAAAACTCCAGGCCAGTGACACCCCAAAGGTAAAGGTCTGAGCGTTAGCTCTGGACACAGACACTAATTTTCATGTAGACAGGAAATGGGGAAATTCTTATAGGTACTGACAAGCAGGGACAGGACAGCCCGACAGTTGGCACAGGTGGCACCGGAGGCTTTACCGTCACTCTTGCTGCTCCTCGTGGCTGGCGCTGGGTGTCCGGCTGCGCACCACCTGGCTCCGGATCTGCTCCACAAACTCTGGGTTTTGCTGCTGCATCTGCTGTGCAAATTGCTGGCCCCTGTGGATGCCCAGGAGACCAACTTTGCTGCCACTTCCTGCCGGCCCTCTCACTGGCCTGCCTTAGGTGTGAGCCAGCCCCTCCCACCCACCGCAGCCTCTCCCTACCCCTCCCAGACCCACAGCAGCACTCACGCCTGGATGAGGCTGGCCAAGTCACTCTGCGATGAACTGCTGCCCGGGGTGCCCAAGGGGTTATGGCCGCCAGAGATCATGCCTGACATCCTACAGGAGAAAGGACTAAGCACACAGCCTGTGCAGCACTGCCTCTGTCCTAGGACCCACAGACAGTTCTCGTCAGGTGTGTCCCCTCCTCTCGGGCTGTAAGCTGACTCAACATGTGTTTGCCATGACTGACAATGTGGGGAGTTGGCAGGAATTGGAGGAGACCTTGGACACCCTGTAGAGAACGAGCCAGCAGCACCACGCACACAGTGAAGAGGCTGAGAAGCTCCTGCAGGGTTGAGTATAAAATCAGCCCCTAAATTCCTCAGCAAGACAGAGCTGACCCTGGGCTCTGGCGCGGTAGCATGGCAGACAGCAGTCAGGACAAATGGCTCCTGACAGCTCTCAACAGGAGGCTCTGACCCACACCACAGCACAGGGGACCCAAGGGATCTATGTTCATTCAAGAGCCAGACCCAGAGGCCCAAACACGACTCCATGATGGGAAATAAGTGTCCACAACTGGCCAACACTGTGGGTGCTGAGATCTGGGGAGAGGGTGGGAGGGGGGACCGAAGGGCTAAGCAGGCAGCAGCTGTGTGACAACCTGATTACACGTAAACTCTAGGACAGGCAAGACTGCATTTTATCCGCACACTGAGTTCAAGGCTGTTTTGGTTTACACAGTGGAACCCTGCCTCAAAACATAAATACTAAAGTAGACTTTGGATTTCTCTTCTGTTCCCAGCACCCACAGGGCAGCTCACACCCAGCTCTGACTCCAATTCCAGGGGCTCTGACCCCCTTCTGGCCTCACTGGGTCACACGCACAGTGCTCTAAGCAGGGACGGACAGCAGGGCAGGGTCACTTACAGCTGCTGCAGCTGGGGGCTGTTCATTAAGCTGGAAGCCTGAAGAGAAAGAAGACAGACAGCATTAGAAGGAGGCCGAGCTGGGGCCACACTGGCCTCCCACCATCTCCGACTTGACACCAGTTCCTTCCTTTGCTGAAGAGGGCTCCAGGCCCCACACCGGCCAGTCCCCACAGAGCCATGCCCAGCCCCCATGTTCTTAGTGTCACTGTATAACAAGCGGGTCTGGAACTCCTTGTCCCTGTCCCAGCATCCCAGTGCTTGGCTCTCAGGCCTACACACCATGCCCAGGTACATGAGTCTTCCAAGGTGAAAACCACTGCTCAACCCCAAATAGCCATGCTTGCCCTCTGGAAACCCCTGGATTGAACAAATGAAGCTTTACTCATAACACGTGGCTGGGGGGGGGGGGGCAGCAAGGCCCACAGAGTCAGACAGTGTTCACTGTCAGTCCTGCCCAGAAGTGACGTTCAGCAAGAACTTCAAACGATCCCTGGCCTGGTCTGCAGAGGCTGAGCTGTGGACCTACCATAGTGATGAAGTGCGGGTTGTTCAGCAGGCCGGCAATGTCCAGGCTGCCCACGCCTCCCGTCTGAAGGAGAAGCATCAGTTAGTGGTGTCTGGAGCCAGCCTGAGCACTCTGGGGAAAAGACGACTGGCCGCGGCCCTCAGGGTCTCGGAGGCTCTACACCATTCAGGGAGGGTCCTGCCAGGAGCCCCCAACAAGCCTGCCTGTCACTGTGAACCCCTGGGCAGCCTGCACCCCACCACCTTGTCTGTGACCTTCAGGCCTGTCACCATCACACAAACCATGGAGGGTCCTGCTCTGCCCCGTGTTCCCGAAAGCCATCTCTGCTATCCCAAGTGCCCTCCCAGAGTAGGGGCTCCAGCATGGCCTCCCATCAACCCCTCTTGCAGAATGGGCTCACGGGACTTGGCGCCTCCCGCAGCTTCAGCTCCGCAATCTTGAGGTTGGACTTGTACGTGTCATTCTCAGGGTCCAGCTCCAGGGCCTTCTTATAGTAAGCCACGGCCTCGGCATGTTTGTTCAGGCTGGAGAGCGCAAGGCTTGAGACAAGAGCATGCCAGGTGAGCTCCAGGGGGGCCAATGAGACTCAGTGCCAAGCCTCTCCTGTCTACACTATGGGCCAGGCCAGGGCACCAGGGTGAGGTGACACCACGAGGACAGAGACCATACGAGCAGGGGCTCCACGGAAGGCACTCCTCTGAGGAGACTAGGGAGGACTGAGACATGATACATGTTCCTGGTACCAGTAGGCCTTCCTGGCTGACAACTGTGACCCTCTCTCCATTAAAAAGTGCTACCCTGCCAGATGGTGGAGGCGCACGCCTTTAATCCCATCACTCAGAAGGCAGAGGCTCTGTGAGTTCAAGGCCAGTTTGGTCTACAAAGTGAGTTCCAGGACAACTCTAAAAAGCCCTAAAAAGCCCTAGCCTACATATAAGAATACTACTGAGGATGGCTGAAGAACCTGAGGCTGGTCTCCCAGAAGAACAAAGGGCTGGGGCAGCAATGGCACACACATTTAATCCCAGCACTAGGGGAGAGGAGGCAGTAGGATATCTACGAGCTTGAGGCCAGTCTGGTCTACAGAGCAAATTTCAGGACAGCCAAGGCTATACAGAGAACAGAGAAACTCTGTCTCAAAAAAATAAAAATAAAAATTAATATTAAAAAGAGGGAGGGGCGCTGAGTGCTGGAGAGATGGTTCAGAGGGTAAGAGCACTACTCTTCCAGAGGTCCTGAATTCTATTCCCAGCAACCACACGGCGGCTCACAACCATCTGAATGAGATCTGGTGCCCTCTTCTAGCCTGCAGACAGATATGTGGACAGAACCCTGTATACACAATAAAATAAATAAATAAATCCTAAAAAAAAAAGGTGGGGGCGGCGACATCCTTTTTGTTCACTGCAGGTAAGGCCTGCGTGGCTGAACGACACACAAGGACAGAAGCTCCCAGGCACCTGCCTGTCACCTGCCTTGGCAAGGAGCACACAAGGCGGCTAGAGGAACGTGGTCCTGACCCTGGGGCACACCACAGCGCCAGCTGCACTTACCCCATGCGGCCATAGGCTTTGCTGTAGCCTGGGTCGATGCCGATAGCACGCTCGCAGTCCTGCACGGCCCCCACGTAGTTCCCCAGCTTGCTGTAGGCTGCAGCCCTGGAGAGAGGGGTCAGTCAGCAGACACTCAGGCCCTCCTCGTAGAGGACAGAGGCCTCTCTAGGAGCTGTCTGTGGCAAGAAGGTGGGTGGGCACGATACCCCACTCCACTGGGACCACAGAAGCTCCAGAGCCTACCACAGACCTTGGCAGGGACACACGGCTATGACACACTCTACACCACACAGGGAAAAGACAAAATAAAAAGGAAGATAACAGGGCAAGCTGGAGAGCTGCCTGGTGCAGGGCTGCGTTTACCCAGCTCAGGGTCCCAGGTGGGAATCATGCCATCTCAAAAGACACCAGAACAGACTCTTCCCACGCCCTGGGAGCCCACCTGACTTCAGCATGCACAGTCCACCCACCCAGGTCCCCACAGCTGCAACCATGCCCCAGCCGGACCACTACCTGTTACAGAAGTAGACGGCATTGGAGGGGTTGAGATCAATGGCTTTGCCGTAGAGGTGCACGGCTGCCTCAAAGTTCTCCAGCTTCATCTGCTCATTACCTGACGAGCGAGAGAGGAACATAGGCTGGCCCTTGCCGCTGCAGGCTGACCCACATCGCTACAGGCTAGCCCATGCTGCCATCAACCCCTAGCTCTTCTGGGCTAATATTCCAAAAGGGAGAGCTGACGTCCAGGTGACACTAGGATTTCTTTTCAGATAAAGGATCATGTATCCCAGGCTGGCCTCAAACTTACAACACCGGCAACTCCTGGCCCTCCTGCCTCTACCCCGAGTGCTGGAATGAGAGGTGTGGCACCATGCCTGGGAAACGTGGTGCTGGGGGTAGAAGCCAGCTTCACGCAAGTTGGGCGGAGGCTCTGCCCACTGCTCCAGGGACAGAGACAGTGCTGGGTACATGGCAGGCCCACTTGACAAGAATCCAGCCTGCACAGGCTCTTTTTCCAGCCAAATGCATCTCACACAGCACCAAAGACAGGTAGGGCCATTCACCTCCTAGGAGTCACAGATGGTTGCCTGTAGGGCCTGGGGTCTGCCTGAGCATGTGTCTTTATGGGATTTTCCTGAAAGCCATGGTTCACACAGACCATTAAGTTTTATTCCCATCTCCCTTTCCTAAGTGCTGGGATTAAAGGTGCACTCCACCACCGCCCATGTTATTATTTAACACATTAAAAAGGGCTGGAGAGATGGCTCAGTGCTTAAGAGCACAGGCTATTCTTCCAGTGGTCCTGAGTTCAATTCCCAGCAACCACAAGGTGGCTCACAACCATCATATAATGAAATATGGTGCCCCCTGCTAGCCTGCAGGCAGATATGCAGGCAGAACATCATAAGTATACATATTTTTTAAAAAATCTTTAAAAAAATACATTAAAAAAATTAAGTTTTGTTTGGGGGTTTTGCAATGGAATCCTGGCTGGCCTAGAATGCACCATGGGGACTAAGCTTATCTGAAACTGAAAGATCATATGCCTCTTGAATGCTAGGATAAATACACACTTTATTCCGAATTACATATGTGTAAGGGCATGCGGGTGCAGTGCCAATAGATCTCCCAGAGCTGGGCACAGAGACAGCATGAGCTAGCTGCTTGACAAGGGCACTGAGAGTCGACCTAGGCCCCTGCAAGAACAGTGTGAGCCTGCACTGCTGCACCATCTCTCCAGCCCCAAACAGGCCCCTCCCACTGACTGCTCCCTCCAGCACCTTGCAGAGGCTCCCATGGGAGATCTGTCTCCCTTACCTTCAGTTTTGAGGCGCTCTGCCTCAGCGGAGTCCTCCTCAGAGGGTGGTGTCCTATCAGGGCCCCTCGGGTCCTGTGGCGTCTCCTGCTGGGGGAAAACAACCCCACTGTGTCTAACTAAACCTGCCCTGGGTAAAGTACCAAATGCCCACACATTGCCATCAGGGGAGGCCCAGGCTCACCTTGCTGGCAGCAGCTGCTTCAAATATCTCTGGCAGGGTCTGGGGGAGAGCTAGGTCCCTGTCCTCCACTGTCACCCCAAAGGCTGTCTCCAGACACTGGATGGCAACTGTATGGGAGGGTAGATGAGCTGGCCTCGAGTGCAGGGCTACCAGGCACGGGCTGAAGTCTACAGGTAGTTAAGGCTGCTCTCCAACTCTCCATAGACAAGCATGTCCCAGAACCCTCGATCCTCTCGCCTCCAGCCCCCACAACGAGTTCTGGAATCAGGTGTACACCAGCACACCTGGTTTGAGCCCAGGACTTCAGACAAGCTAGGTTGCGTGTTCTACCCACTGAGGCCCTGCCCAGCACTCATGTGTCTTTAAACATGTATCTGAAAACCCCAACCACCTACACCTATCTTCTCAGTAACCTTCAGTTCACCTCAGACATGCTCGCCTGACAGCAGGAGGCACACACAGGAGGCCTGAGGTGGGTGACCTCATGTCCTCTGTGGGGTCCCAGTGCTGAGGCTTGGCCTAACCATCACCAGCAGGCCCTCTGGAAACAGTGAGTGTCTCCCCAGCGTGGTACGCCTGCTGTGGAGCTGACTGTGCAGCAGTCTCAGGAGAGGACACTCCAGGTCATCCATGCTGGGCTGAGCTCTGGGGACACAGCTGTCCGAGCCATTTCTGCTCCTGTATGTGACCTCATCAGACTCACTGACTTACAAGCTGGGCTGTGGTGGGGTCTGTGGTGTCTGTATTTGGCTTATCACTCCCTGTCTGAAGTGGACAAACATTGGTCACATCTCCCCAGGAATAGTGCCACACAATGAGGAAGGCAAGGAAGTCCACACAGGAGCCCAGCAGCCACGGAAACCGCCCCAGGAACCACTGTCCTCTGCGAGACATACAGTACCCGGGAAGCAGAGGGACGGATGCTGGATGCAGGCGTCCAGGAAGCACAGTAAGGACAGACACACTAGAGGTTGAGAAAAATGGACCTGAACCTCGGCTGCCAGCAGGGAGATGATAATTAGGGTCACAGTCACAGGAACAGCAAAGGGAACCCTGGGCACCAGTGGGGTGCTGGGCACCTGCCACTCCCCTCATGAGCCATGGAAGGGGACAGATGCCCAGGCCGGGTATGCTTGCCGGCTGCCTCCTGCTTCTGTGGTCTGGACAGAGGCTGGCAGGGCATCAGCCACACCTACCCTCTAGGCTCTCCTGGGCATCAGGTGAGAGTCCGCCATGCCGCAGCTGGCCATGCAGGAACTGGATGATGGCATATGCCAGGCGCTTCCTGTTGTCCATCTCGAGGCTAGTGAGGTGACGCTGCCTGCTCAGATCTGTGGGAACAATCAAAGTGTAGGATGTGGGACTGGGGGTGGAGACCTGCTCTTCACCCATGGGTCCCTGGCAGCCGATCACTACCAGAGCTGCTCGAGATCACCAGCCAGTCCTAGTGTCAAAATCACTATTCGCCCGTGACAGCTGGTGCCACCATGGCACGGAGCCACAGCCCTACTGCCACCCAGAGACGACTGCCATAGGACACAGTGCTAGAGATGGAGAGCAAGCCCGGAGCAGTGTTATCTCCTAGCACTCTTTCCTCAATTTACCCTTTCATAGCCCCTCCCGGGGTCAGGTGAGCACAACTGTTTTCTGGGACCCCAGGGTTGAGGCATCTAGTTTCTTGACCACCCCACACACACCCATAGCTTGGCAGGTGCTTCAGCTTACCAGTCCCAGTCCCCAAGACACCTGGTGACATTACACAGTGATACCAGGACATCTCTGAACTCTAGAGGGACCGCTGGGTGGGGCTACTTCAGCCCAGGTAATCTTTGGAGGCAGTAATAAGCTCAGTTCCCCTGGGGTAGGGTAGTGAGGTCACTTCTCTGTGGGGAGCCGCGAGCATGGGCAGCACTGACAGACACCATATGACAGAGGCTACAAGCAGAGAGACCAGAGCAACAGTGGTCCCAGAGGTGAGGAGGGCAGGAAGGAAGACAGCAGGGGCATGTGGCTCTGCCATGAGAGTTCAGACTTGTGGTCTCCAGTCCTGGACAGAAGTTGGCCTAGAGTCTGGCACTTGGCATGTGATCATATGATAACCCTGCAAGTAATGGAAAGGCCATGTGACTCTCAAAGCCCATGAGCTGGTCGCCCTGCTGACCTCTAAGTTCCACCTCAGAGTCTCAGTTCCTACACCTGTCAAGTGGGGTAGACAGAAACCTCGCAGCCACTGCGCCATCACAGCAGTCCTCGGCCAGAGAGGGGCCCACACTTGTCCCTGATGTCACGATTCCTCTGCACAGACCCAGACTGATAGCACTGTGGGGCCTCCAGGGACCAGCTCAGTATCCCGAGCCTCAGTTTCCCCCTGTGTCACTGAAAGTGGTGCCAGCAGGTCTGGTGGTGCGTAAGAAGGGAGAACCCAGGGGCTGGAGAGATGGCTCAGTGGTTAAGAGCATTACCTGCTCTTCCAAAGGTCCTGAGTTCAATTCTCAGCAACCACATGGTGGCTCACAACCACCTGTAATGAGGTCTGGTGCCCTCTTCTGGCCCGCAGACATAACTCACAGACAGAATAATGCATACATAATAAATAAATATTTTTAAAATGGGGGGGGGGGGTTGGAGAGATGGCTCAGTGGTTAAGAGCACTGCCTGCTCTTCCAAAGGTCCTGAGTTCAATTCCTAGCAACCACATGTGTTCTCATCACAACCATCTGTAATGAGGTCTGGTGCCCTCTTCTGGCCTGCAGATATACACACAGACAGACTATTGTATACATAATAAATAAAAGATTTAAAAAAAAAAAAAAAGAAAGGAGGACCCAGATCCTGGAATGGAGGAGGCAGTGTGGGACACAACCCTCTGCAGGCTCGCAAGGTGTCCCTTGTGCCTAGGAGCCCTGTGCCGGCCCGTCTCGTGTCTGAGAAGCCACTGCTGACCATGCCTGACTGGCACCCATGGTCTTTCTACACCATCTTTCTTCTTCATTTACCAGGACCACAAGGGCAGGGCTAGCTAACCTGTCCCTCTCCCAGCATACACTGGTCCCTTCTGCCATGACCTTCATCCTGACATCCAGGACACAGGGGATGCTCTTAGCAGTGGTGGGTGCTGGCCACTGGCCAGGTACTCCAGACACCCCGGCCTGAGGACACATGTGCTGGCTGCACCATAGTGACTAGCACTTTTCCATGAACATTCTAGAAGGCAGCCTCAGACCATGATCTGAGGGGCAGGTCAATTTGGAATGAAGACTGAGACATGAAGACAGCATTGTGGGGGGCCTGCTCCCAGGCTGGCACCGGTACCCCAGAACCCACAAGCAGATAGATACACTTTTCCCCTCAACTCTACACAGAGCCCCCTGAACCCCCAAGCCCAAGTATGACTGTCTGCCTTTGGAGACAGGGTCTATGTAGAGCTGACCAGGTTAAAGTGAGGCCAGAGTGGGTCCTGATTCAGGGAAAGATTTAGGGCAGAGACCACAAGCCTGTGACCTGGTACCCCTGTGGCTGAGGCAGGAGAATGACGTTGTGTTCAAGGTCAGTCTGAGTAGACCAGAGGTCAGGGATTGAAAGTAGTGGCTCACACCATTATTCCCAGCACTGAGGAGGCAGAGGCCAGCCATAGCCAACAGGGAGTCTCTGTTTCAAGATATCTAAATATGGGGGCTGGGGAGATGGATCTGCCACCCTCTGCTGGAGGGATGGATGGGGACACACACCTTTAAACTCCGCAGGTAAGGGGTTCTGCTCTTGCCTATCAAATACTAAGCCTGGAGACCTAGTCAGAAAACATTAACATGATGAAGATGTCTGAGATCCCCTAATGGAGATCACTGTGTGAAGACAGAGATGGCAATAGTCGCCCTGTCTCAGAAGCCATCCAGGCTCTGGGACGTCCCCTCACCTGAAAAGAACCCTTTCTCCTCTTACAAGCACCAGGGGAAAGGTCGCTATGTTTAACACAGCCAGCTCAGGGTCTGACTCTAGGACAAACGGGCCACTAGGGACAGAAACCAGGGACTAAATGACAGCAGTAGGCTGGGCACTGCAGAAAGCTAAGGCCGAGCAGGACCTCTGGCTTGTCCCAAGGGGAGCCTGGAATCCACACACCCATCCATGCCTGCCCGTCAGGCACGGGAAAGTCACTAGCATTCTGGAGCTGAGGTCTGAGAACAGCACGTTCTGTGCTGACCTGGGCTAGGATGAGACTCTGACTCGATAGATAAGTAAAGAGGTGAAGCAAGCTTTTAACCCCAGACTCGGGAGGCAGAGAGTTCAAGGCCAGCCTGGCCTACGGAGCGAGTTCCAGGACAGCCAGGCTACACAGAGAAAGCCTGCCTTTAAAAAACCAAGAAATACAAACACAAAACAAACAAACAAAACAGGACCAGGAGTCAGCAAGACGGCTTAGTAGCGGAGTTTGTCACCAAGCTGGTAAACTAAATTCCATCTCTGGGCCCACGTGGAAGAAAGAGAGGCCTGACTCCTGAGCTGTCTCCTCCAACCTCCATGTGTAAAGCGCTGACCCGACGCCACAGTGTCCACACATACCCAGAACTGTAAACTACAGCTGGGAGATGGCACAGTGGGGACATTGTTTGCTTCTCCGCAAACATGAGGACCCCAGTTCTAATCCCCAACGTCCATGTGAAAAACTGAGCATGGTGACGCACTGTAATGCAGGGCTGGGGTGGGAACAGGGATCTCTGGAGTCCACCAGCAGGGTGCAGAAGTCACTGAGGAAGACGCAGCATGTGGCCTCTGCATGAGCCTGCCTGCTCCAGGGAGAGCCGTCTCTCCATCCTCTCTCCGGAGCTGTGTGGCCAGGGAGTTCCTGGAGTGGAGTGGGTGGAGACCAGGATGGCCCCACAAAGGACAGGTGTCCCCAGAGTCCAGAATGACTGGACTAGAAGATGAAGACCTGATGAGCCAGCTCTGTGACATCTGGGCCTGTCACCACTGAGAGGAGACAGCAGTCCTGACGAGCAAGCCCCCACCCCACACAGCTGTGAGCCAATGTCGCTTTAGACCATGGGTTCCCCCCCCCCAGGGGTGTCCAGCACCCAACATCCACTGACCTTCCTCTGTGGCCATGAGGCCCCACTTCTCACATCCCAGGCATGGAGGGTTGGGGAAGGTTCTGGCTGAGGGACAAGGCTCTCAAAGGCCCATTTCTCCGGAACAGTGTAGACGTTGAGTATAGCTGCCCACCACCCAGGACATAGTCCCAGGATGCTCCTGGGTGAGCAACCTGACACCTCTAAGTGCTGTCTCCACACCACTCTCCCCCACAGCAACAACACAATGGGTGTGCAGCACCAGACCCAGCTGGCCCAGTACCAACCCGTGCACATCGCTGTGCCCACTCAGCCCTGCACCTCAGAACCAAACCCAAACCTAGGGTGGCTGAGTGGGTAATAGCACCCGCTGAACGAGTGGAAGGACCTGCATTCAGATCCCCGGAACCACCTAATGGTCATGTCATGTGTGTTGGGTTACCTGGTGCCAGGGTATGCGTGGAGACAGGAGGATGGCTGGGTCTTGCTGGCCACCAAACTAATCCCAGGGTCAGGGGTACCCTGCTTCAAGGGAAGAAGATGGCAAAGTCTTGCAGTTAGCCTCATCCACACGGCAAGTTCCAGACCAGCCAATAAGACCCTGTCTCAAACTGAACTAAACCCACACCCAGCACAGCAGAGCTCACTAGCGTCCCCCCTTACCTACACTCCTGTCCAGGACAAATAAGCTGAAGAAAACGGTGAGCCCCACAAAGTGAGGGGTGTCACCTCTGAGCCCTACACAGGCCCTGCCCAACCTCATTACATGCTAAATGCAGTCCCCTACCCACAGCAGCTCCCCGAAGCACAGTCCGTGCTCACCTGCAAAGCAAGCAGATGTCACAGCACACATGAGCGCCGTCTAGGCGTCTGGCAGACCCTGAGAGCACAGCTGCTGTGCACCCCAAACTTTCCAAAACTCAAGGGCGGCCCCTACCCCATAGGTCTGCACCCACCCCAAACCTGAGGTAGCCTCAGGCCTTGGGCTGTGCACCCAAAGCACTCTGGACAGTTGTCTTCTGGGCCTCAGCTCCAGGCCACACCCACACCATGGTGGCAACCTGAGAGGGCCTATCTCCAAGCCATGCAATCCAGTCTCTTGGCGAGCACAGGCCCCCTTCTTCGGCTATTGGTTTCCTTATAGAAACCTAACAGAGGGGCTGGAGAGATGACTCAGAGGTTAAGAGCACTGGCTGCTCTTCCAGAGGTCCTGACTCCAATTCCTAGCAAGCCCATGGTGGCTCACAACCATCTGTAATGAGATCTGGTGCCCTCTTCTGGTGTGCAGGCAGACATGGAGGCAGATGCTGTACACAAAATAAATAAATCTTTTAAAAAAGAAAAAGAGGGGGCTGGAGAGATGGCTCAGAGGTTAAGGACACTGACTGCTCTTCCAGAGGTCCTGAGTTCAATTCCTAGCAACCACATGGTGGCTCACAACCATCTACAATGAGATCTGGTGCCCTCTTCTGGCCTGCAGTCATCCATGGAGGCAGCACACTGTATTGTATACATAATAAATAAAATCTTAACTTAAAAAAAAAAGAAAAAAAAGAAAAAGAAACATAACAGAGCCAGAGCTGTGACCCCAGCGTACGCAAGACTGCAGGAGGATGGAAGCTTAAAGCCAGCTGGGCTCCATCCTCAAAGAACAATGCAGGTGGCAGGGCACCACCACGGAGGAGCAGTGTTGCGGATGGTCAGCTCCCAGCACCCAGATAAGCCACTCACAGGGGCCTGAACCCCAGCTCCAGATGATCTGACTCCCTCTTCTGGCATCCATGGGCACTGAATGCACGTGCACATACCCATAAATGTGTGCACAATTAAAAACCAATCTTTAAAACAATGAAAAACAACACACAGAGTAGAAAGAGCATGTGGCACACTCCCATCCCCCCAGCACTTGGGAGGTGGGGGCAAAAGACCAGGATCAAGGACATTCTCATCTACACAGTCTGAGGGCAGCCTGGGCTATGTGAACTCCTGTTTCAAATATAAAAATATAAGAATGTAGAGCTGACACGAGGACCAAGAAACACAGAGCAGGACTCTGGCAGGTTGGCTGGTTTGTGATGTGGGCCGGAAGTAACCAGCCAGAGTCACGCTCCCTGCCAGGAAGCACTATGATAAATACCTGGCTCAAGACCTTGGCAGGGTCAGAACTTTCATGTGCTAACTTAGGTGTACAGCATGCACTACAGGGACCCTGGGAACGCTCTGGACAGGCAAGGCTTGTCCTCCAACTCCAGCCAGGCTTCAACTCAAGCTGTCTGTCACCCCAGTATACAGCAGGCTGCAGCTGGACGGCTGCTAGAATATAAAGCTAGCCTGGAGTCCTCCCCGCCAACAAGTTCACAAGATAAAGGTCAGTGTGGCAACTTCCATTCTGAGGGGTCTGGTGAGGCGCCTAGGGATGAGGGAGACCCTGTCTCTAAACAAAACTACAGGAAGGGCTTGGAACACAGCTCAGCTAATGGAGCCGATGCCCAGCCACAAAGCAGAAGCTGAGACCTTGGGAGCGGCTCCAGGATACAGAGTCCAGTGGGCAATCCTTTACCTCGCAAAACTGAGTGCACACACAATCTTGGGACCCACATAATCTGCGCAGCGGCCTCCGTGATGAGGAGCCACCGGGCTAGGGTTTCAACACTAGAGCTAACTATGTAGCCCAGGCTGGTCTCAAATTTAAGGCAATCCTCCAGTGTCTCCCTCCTGAGAGCTAGAATCACAGGCATGCTTCATCATTAGCATGCTCACGCACGTATGTGTGTGAGCGTTGTGTTCACACACCGTCAACCTAGGGTGTTCTTCCTCCAGCTATCGCCTCATTCCTTAGAAAGAGCAAAACAGTGTCTAACTGGGCGGTGGTGGTGCTCACCTTTAATTCCAGCACTTGAGAGACAGAGGCAGAAGGATGCAGAATTATCTGTATTCTGTCAATCATGTATTTTAATAAAACGCTGATTGACCAGGCAGGAAGTATAGGTGGGTCAACCAGACAGGAAGTAGAGGCGAAGCGATGAGAACAGGAATATTCTGGGAAGCAGGAAGCTCCCTCTGCCACTCCTGCCCAGATCACCGAAGAAGCAACATGTGAGCTGACAGTTGAAAAAGGTACCAATCCATATGCCTAATGTAGATAAGGATAATAGGATAATATATGTTATAAGAGCTAATAAGTAGCCAGAGCTAAGGGTCAACCAGTTTATAATCTTATGGAGTCTTGTGTGTGATTTTCTTTGGGAATTGCCGGCTGTGGGGTGCCAGGCGGGACAGATACCCCAACAAGCCAGCCCCTCACACTACAGGAGGATCTCTGTGAATTCAAGGCTAGCCAGGACAGTGTCTGACCTGGAACACAGGGCTGAAAGACAGGCAAGAGAGCCCAAGGAATCTGCCCATCTCTGGCCTCCTGGACCAAGAGGACAAGGTTACAATTACTTGTGGCTTTTTACATGGAGGTGTAGGGACTCGAACTCAGATCTGTGTACAAACCCATTACTCACGGAGCTGTTTCCCCAGCCCAACAGGAGCATCGTTCATTCTGTACAACGTGCCTGCCCTCTCCTCAGTGGTAGAGGTCAGACCCTGCGGTCACAGCAATCACTAGAGTCCCCAGACACTGCCCAGGGAGAGGAAAGATCGCTCAAACAAATAACCACAGACAGGAACTGACCAAAGCAGATTACCCGGTGGGGACCTGTCAAGGCCGACAGGTCGGCAGGCCCCTGCAAGTGACAGACAAGGACATTTACAACAATTTCAGGGACTTGTTTTGGTTTCCTGTTGCTGCTGCCATTTCATTTTCTTGTTTAGTTTGGTTTTGTTTTCCAAGACACAGTCTCAGTGTAGCCCAGGCTGGCCTCAGACTCAGAGATCCACCTGCCTCTGCCTTGAGAGTACTGGGAAGAAAGGCAAAGGTGTGGGCTGCGAAGTCTGGTTTCTGAGAGACGAGGAACTCACTACACAGCCCAAGTTGGCCTTGAGCTTCACTCCCATCCCCCCTGCCTCAGCCTCCCACACGCTGGGAGGACAGCCAGCAAACCCTGCTTACACCTAAACTACTGGCTATGTTAACATGTTTCTCAAAATACGATACCGGTTGAGGAGGTACAGAGGCGAGAATCCGAGACCAGCCTTGTCCACACACTGAGTTCGAGGACAGCCAGGGATACATAAACACTGTAGAACAAACTAAAATGAATTGGTCTCACATTGTGGTCCACATAACTTCTTGCGTAGTCTAGGCTGGGCCTTGAAAGTCTCTAGGTAGCCCAGGCTGGACCTGAACTCCCAGTGATCCAACTGCCTCACTCTCTTAAATGCAATACCGAATCGTAGGTTTTGGAGCCAGCAGCTGGACTAGTCTTCGGGGCGACAGTTTTTGATTGTCGTTGCCGTGTTTTTTTGAGTCAAAATATACAGTCTTGGCTAGCAGGAACTCAAGCCGATCCTCCTGCCTCAGCCTCCACAGCGCCGACGCGACGGCAAGTGTGCCAGTAGCACTGCCTTACTGCTGCTCAGTGCGGGCGAGCCCGGCAGGCACGCCCCCCACTCACACCCCGAGCACCAACACCCCCTCCCCGCGCGGACAGCAGTGACCACGTCCGCTGTGTACGAAGGGAAACTGAGGCTGAGCAAGGTCACCAGCGTGGTGAGCGGCGAAGCTGGGATGACACCTTGGCCCCGACGGAACCCCGAGGATGCTGACGTGCCCCCCACACCTAAACGCCGGCCTCTTCCTAAGACTGAGTCGCTTGACTCAGTTTCTCCACTGCGCCGCCCGCTCACGTGACCGGCGGGGCGCAGAAGTTCGAAGCCCAAAGCCCCTTTGTCTTAGGATCTCCCGAGCGCTGCGCAGCCCGAGCCACGGACCCCCACGGCCCCGGGGCACGGCGGAGACCCCCGACTCACCTCTCAGTCGACCGAAGCCCCGACCCACCGTCAGCTGCGCCTGCGCACCGCGGCGCGGCCAGGCCCCGCCCTCAGGCCCATGACGCCTGCGCAGGAGGCACCCATTGCTCCGTGATCGGGTTCTGCGCGTGCGCCTGAGTGCCGGCTGGGCTACGAGACGGAAGTGATATCCCGTGGAGGCGGGCACAACCGGGTCGTTGGAAAAACTGACCTCGGAGGCGTCACGAAGGCCGGAAGTCAGTCTGACAGACCTCAGGTGGGCCTGGCGCGGGGCTTGACGGGGCGGCGGCGGACCCCGGCGGAGCGGAGGCCTTCACGTGGTCCGGAGCCGGTCACGTGGCGCAGCGCCCGCGTCGGGACTCTGGATCCCAGCTACTGAGTTCCGCTAGGCTGTTTTGTTTTGTTTTCTCCGCTTTTTTCCCCCGAGACAGGGTTTCTCTGCTACTTTGGAGTGCATCCTGGAACTCGCTCTGTAGACCCCACAGATCGCCTGCCTCTGCCCCCCCGAGTTCTGGGAACCACCGCCTGGACTTGTTTTTTTATTCAAATGAGAATCTTTACTAGCCCAGGCTGGCCTTGAACTGAACCTCCTCGGAAGCACAACCCGCTTTCTGCGAAAGACCCACAAGTGCACTTAACCACTGACCAATCTATTTTGGCCACTATATTTTATACGTGGTCCCTCTTTAAAGATTTGCCTTTAACTTTTAATTATGTGTATTGAAAAGTTTTATGTCCCAATAAACCTCTCCACTGACATATTAATCCAAATAAGACCAAATCAAACCGAATTAGAAAAGGCCCAGGTTTACTGGATGAGAGCACTCAGGGTGGCCTTCCAGCCCAGCCAGGGAAGGAAGTCGGCACAGACCTCTTAATTCTCTGGGGCAGTTTAAATACCCTGAGTGGCCTTGAACATCTCTGAGGAGGGCTCACCTTTACCTGCCTTCCTTGGAGGTGGAGTCTGCACTGAGGCAACTGGGTGGGGGGGCTGTGATGGAACTTTCCATCCAAACATTCTAGATTCCTTGGATATATGGATGCCAGGGGCTGGGGTGAAGCCCTGGCTCAAACTTGTATGTCTTTGGTTGAGCTTGTGCATGGGAGTGCAGTGTCTGCACTGAAACCGAAGCTGGATTTGTGAGCTGTTCAGATCCTCTGAAAGAGCTGCATATACTTTTATTTATTCATTCATTTGTTTATTTTTTATTGTTTTCAAGACAGGGTTTCATTCTAGAGACCAGGATGGTCTCAGACTCAGAGATCCGCCTGCCTCTGTCTCCCAAGTGCCGGGATTAAAGGCATGCGCCACCATACCTAGCTTGCTATACGTACTCTTAACTCTTGAGCTATCTCTTCTATTTTTGTTTCTCTGTGTAGCCCAGGCTGGCCTCACACCATCACAGTCTCTGTGGGCGATAATGATCGCATCTTTAATCCCAACACACAGGAGACACCTTGATATAAACAGAGAAATCCTGTCTTGGAAAATAAAAACGTGTGGCAATCCCCCCGCATCAGCCTCCAAGTACTGACATGTCAGGCTTCTGACGTTCCGCCTATATACACACCTGCCACTCCCAATATAATGTGGTTATAATTACCAGACTGAGTGTTCTTGGTTAGTTAAGGATTTGAAGTGTGTAACTGGAAGTTTCTCTCCTGTCTGCCAGTTCCTGAATAACTTTGAGGCTTAATATTAGTTATAAACCATTTGGTCTATTAGCTCTTACAACTTAAGTAACCCTTTTCTGTTATTCTTTAGTTTACCATGAGGCATGTGGCTTGTTACCTCACATCTTGCTTCCCTGGTGGCTGCTGGCGTCTCCCTGACTCTGCCTTCTTTCTCCCTATACTCAGTTCCACTTTCCCTCCTAGATATTTTATGCCCTGCCATAGGCCAAAGTAGCTTTTTCTTCTTTTTTTTAAAAAGCAGATTCTTTATTATTAAGAATATTCACAGCATACAAAAAGGTATCCTACATCATTTTCCCTTTTCTGTCTAATCAAGGAAGGTATTAACTTTAACATAGTACAATTACATATAACAAAACAGCTATCAAGCATGAATTACAATATTTAGTATATTTGTATTTGGCAAAATTAAAGAAAATATTCTATCATTCTATATTTATGAGTCTGTAAGTTTCATATCTAATTTATTTATTTATTTATTTTTTGGTTTTGGTTTTTTGAGACAGGGTTTCTCTGTAGTTTTAGAGGCTGTCCTGGAACTAGCTCTTATAGACCAGGCTGGCTTTGAACTCACAAGGAACCACCTACCTCTGCCTCCCAAGTACTGGGATTAAAGGCATGTGCCACCACTGTCCGGCTCTAATTTATCTTTTATCATAATTAAGGAAAACTATAACTGTAACTATGTAGTCTTCAATTCCATCAAAGACCCCAGAAGGATATAATATTACCTAAGTAAACAGGAAGTACATTGTAAGTAACTTCCAAAACTCTAGAATTGACAAAGACATCTCACTGCTTGGACAGTCACTCAAAGTTCTTCTGTAACATGGAAGACTGTCCTGCCTACATTGGCAGTTTGTCAGTCACTTTCTTCTATGTCCTGCATAATGTCAGCAGTGCTCGCGACACTCTTCCATGAAGCAGGAGCTCTGAACGACTGTCCCAGTGGGTCCCACAGACATGTGTGATAGACAGTATAGAAAAGCCAGGCACCTTTGAGGAATTGAGAGAAGAGAGGAAAAGCTGAAGCCATCTTTAGCAGAGACTCCCCTGGCAGTTACCAACGGTTAAAGGTTTTTTTCCCTACCAGAAACTGGAATTACAGGAAAAATATATAAACTCACCTAAACCCCTGTGCAACTCTGTGCCTTCTGCTTTTCCCTATCAGATTCGTTTTCACTGTCAACTTGGGACAACTTAGAATCACTTTGCAAGAGGCTTCATGAATTGTGTAGATGAGGGCTTGTGGGACTGTCTGTGGAGAACTGTCTTGATTAAAGCTAAGAGGTCTGAGAAGACCCAACCCACTGTGTGTTGTGGAATATTAATTTAACTAGGCAACAATGTGTTGTATCTGTTTACACCGTATCTCTTTAAAGATGTGTTGTATTTCTTTAATTATGTAGAGATTGCTGCCTGCCTAGGGCAGCTGACTGGTCTAATGAAAAGCTGAACAGCCAATAGCCGGGCAGTAGAGGGATAGGAGTTCAAGGCCTTCCTCATAGCAAATTCCAGGTTAGCCTGGGCTATGGAGACCCCGTCTCAAAGACAACAAAACAAACAAACAAACAAACAAAAGCCCCAAACCAAAGACAAACAAATAAAGAAAAAAACTCAGCAGGGCAGTACTGGAGAGATGGTTCACTGGTTAAGAACACTGGCTATTCTTCCAAAGGACCTCTGTTCAAGTCGCAGCACCCAGAAGGTGGCTCACAGCCCTTTGTTCACCCCAGTTCCAGACGCCCTCTTCTGACTGCTGTGGTGGTGGCAGACAAAACACCAGATCCACAAATGCACGCAAGCATGCATGCATACACACAGTCACCCTCGGGTGCGCGCACTCATACAAGGGCTGTCAAGGGGTCTTAACTGGGACAGCAAAAACACTTGCCACTCTTCCTTCCTGCTTGCAGCCTGAGTTCCTTCCTTTTCCATCTCACTCTGGAAGAGGCAGCTTCTGTTTCTCCCTCCCTCTCTCTCTCTCTCTCTCTCTCTCTCTCTCTCTCTCTGCCTCTCTGTTCTTCTCCTCTTCTCCCTTTCCCCTCCATAACCCACTAAATAAATATCCAACCTCACTCTGAAAAAAACAAAACAAAACAAAAAACACTTGCCACCGACCCCGCATACCCTAGATCCATTTCCCAAACCACATGCTGATGGCAGAGGACTGACTTCCACAAGTCCTTTTGCTGCCTTTGATGCCCTTCCTGGCATCTACCATCAGCAGGTTCCATGTCAGTCCGTGTGTTGTGTGTGTGTTGAAGCATGTTTAACATGATTGTGACAGCCCGAAGTTGAGGTTGCTCTCTATTTTGCATATTGAATCAAAAATCTCTCAGGAGAGATGGTTCAGAGGTTGAGAGCACTGACTGTTCTTCCAGAGGTCCTGGGTTCAATTCTTAGCACACACATGGCAGCTCACACCTGTCTGTAACAGTTCTGTTCTGCAAGGGCATGCATGCGGTGCACAGACATACCCAGTCTCAACACCATATACATAAAATAATAAAATTAAGAGAAAAATCTCCGGCTTAAAGCCAGATTCTGCTGATGTAACCTCGGCATTTCCTCCAGGGTTCCCCATATAACCCCCCTCCTGTTGCCCTTTGTGGGTGCTGGGGTCTGCAGATCCACCCCCCTATAACCCCCCTCCTGTTGCCCTTCGTGGGTGCTGGGGTCTGCAGATCCACCCACCGTGCCACAGGCTGGTGTTTTCTGTAGGTGATCATGACGATCAGTGTGACCCATTAATCTGATTGGATCTCGAATCCCTAGGGAGATGGCTCCTGTGTCCTCCTGGGAGGATTATCTTCATTACATCATTGAGGAGGACTCTGAGCAGTCCCTTCCCTGGGTGGGAGTCCTGAACTGTGCAAAATGGAGAAAGCGCAAGCTCCCAGGCCCTTGATTTCCCCAGGGAAGCTGTGACGCGAGCTGGGAGCTAAAAAACGGTCTCCCTTAAACTGTATTTATTTATTTATTTATTCCTGGAACCTCTGTAGACCAGGCGGGCCTTGAACTCACAGAGATCTGCCTGCCTCTGCCTCTCTAAACTACTGTTTAAAGGATGTATTTATGGTTGTGTGCATGTGTTCCACACGCACGCAGTGCCTACAGAGGCCAGAGAGAATGTCATGTCCCCTGGAACTGTGAGCTCTGTGGGTTCTGGGATCTGTGGTCCTCTCGATGTCACCGCTCTTACCCCCTGAGCCAGCTCCCCAGGCTCCCTGCGAAAAGACACTGTGTATTGCTAGGGATGATTCTTTTAACTTTTATTGTTTTTTTTTTTTCCAGACAGGGTATGTAGCCCAGGCTACCCCTGCAGGTTGCAGTTTGGGCCTCTTCAATTTAGCTAGCACTAGAACTGCATGTGTGTGCCATCACACTCAGCTCAGGAAAAGAAAAAGCAGGAGGATCTGGAGTTCAAGGTCATCCACGGCTACGT